TTTAAGACCTTCAATATCTAAGAAGAAACATGATCTCAGCATTTGAGATTTGATCACGTAGATAGAGAGTTTAAAGAAGAGTAAAAGTAAAACCTGATTCACCAGGTCTCAAACGACCACCAGGAAGCTTGAAGATGGAGTTTCTATACTGAAGAAGTAAAACATGAGGATGCTTGAACAGCTCAACCTGATGTATCCCAAACATCACATGTTAAAAAACTTCTCCAAAACCAATAATTTTGCTATCAATCACTTTTTTTTTTACCAAAAGAACAGCTTCAACGCAAGTCCTCAATCCATGAGTAGCGTAACTGCAAAGTGATTAAAAAAAAGAGTAAAATCCTTTAGATATAAGTTAACGCAAAAACATAAACCCCATATGATCAAAATCACTTGAAATTACTCCGATTTCAATCTGACCACACGATCAGAGATCATCTCATCCTTGACGCGAACAGCATCTCGCGAACCGAAGTAGTAGCTACTAAGCGGGTATAAATCTACTACCGAGTCATGGTTTCTTCTCGTCGCGTTCTCTTCGCTGCTCTCTATATCTACAACTCGAGCTTCTTCACCCATATTTTCCCCGGGAAAGTTCAAAGAGAGAGAGAGAGCTAAAGCAATCGAAGTCGATAACAGAGTGATCACGAAGACAGAAGAGGTAAGACGGAAGAAGAGAAGAAGCGAAAGAGGAGTGAGACGTGGCGGCTTCAGAGAGCTCTTTTCCGCTAAACGGTGCTAATAGCTGACGCCGGCGGGAGTGTTAGAGGGAAAAAGTGATAAATATTGGGCTTCTTATTACGTTAATGGGCCTTTAGTGACAGGCTTTTCATCAAACTACAAAACCGACACGATGTTATATTGTTAAACTTAAAAACGGGAGGGTGTTAGTGGAGAGAATCAGAAGGTTTTGCATCTCCTTGTTCACTTGGAAAGACAGTAAAAGAAAAACCTAAAAAGATGAAACTCGCAGGTCTGAAATCGATCGAGAACGCACACGAAGATTCCGTTTGGGCGGCGACATGGGTTCCGGCGACGCAAGAAAGACCTGCGTTGCTTCTGACTGGATCTCTAGACGAGACGGTTAAGCTGTGGAAAGCGGACGAGCTGGATCTTGTGAGAACCAATACAGGACACTCCTTGGGAGTAGCAGCTGTGGCGGCGCATCCTTCCGGAATCATCGCAGCGTCTTCTTCCCTCGATAGCTTCGTCCGTGTCTTCGATGTCGACACTAATGCCACCATCGCTGTTCTCGAAGCTCCTCCTTCTGAGGTTTGGGGTATGCAATTTGAACCTAAGGTAAATTGAAGTTTGACCTCAGAATCAATAAAATTGTTAGCTCCGGACGATGCTTAGAAACTAGTTGGAATTAGACAAGACAGGAACTTGTTTGTCATCTACTTGTGTGTCTGAATTCTCTGTAGATTGTTCATATTGACTTACGACCATAGTAACTTCGAATCTGATGTTACATAAATACAATGCTATGTGCTAACTTATTTATTTTAATGTGTTACAAGGGTACAATCCTTGCTGTTGCGGGTGGAAGTAGTGCCTCGGTGAAGCTTTGGGACACTGCGAGCTGGAGACTAATCTCAACTCTATCAATCCCACGTCCTGAAGCACCAAAGCCTTCTGATAAAACCAGTAGCAAGAAGTTCGTTCTCTCCGTTGCTTGGTCTCCTAACGGGAAACGTCTTGCTTGTGGTTCAATGGATGGTACCATCTGTGTCTTTGATGTTGATCGCTCTAAGCTTCTTCACCAGCTTGAAGGGCACAACATGCCTGTAAGGTCACTTGTGTTCTCCCCTGTAGACCCGAGAGTTCTCTTCTCAGGATCAGATGATGGGCATGTGAACATGCATGATGCTGAAGGGAAAACGTTGGTGGGGTCCATGTCGGGACATACGAGCTGGGTGCTGAGTGTTGATGCTAGCCCAGACGGTGGAGCTATTGCAACAGGGTCGAGTGATAGGACTGTGAGGCTGTGGGATCTTAAGATGAGAGCTGCTATTCAGACAATGAGTAACCATAATGACCAGGTTTGGTCTGTAGCGTTTAGACCACCTGGTGGAACTGGTGTCAGGGCTGGTCGTCTCGCTAGTGTCTCGGATGACAAGAGTGTATCGCTCTATGATTACTCATAAATTTGGTTCTTTTCTTTAATGCATTCTTCAAGACACATTTTGTTTCCAAGGATTCTATGTAAACACTAGTTGTAACAATGTAATCTGCAAGAGGTCTTTTTTTGTTGGTTCAAACTTTGCTTGAGAGCTTATTATAAAACTTGGAAACAGATAAGCAGTTTAAAGAGTACAGAAACAAAATAGTCTACAAGTTCTCAAAAAAAAAAACAAAAAAAGATTGGTCTCTTACTTATGACCTAGGTGTCTGATTCCCTAAGTAACTCTTGAGAACATCCATAACAGCTCCAAAATCAGCCTTCACTTCAACAGGAGGATTCGAGAATCTACACGCCATGTCAGGGATAGCTTTCGAATGATAATCAATCTTCGACTGAGTAAACTTCAACCCATGAGCAGTACTCACAACCACAGTCCTATCAGTCGGCGCAATCACTCCTCTATTCCTCAGCTTAAACAAAGCAGTCAAAGCCACACCCGTATGCGGACAAATAAACATCCCAGTAGAATCCGCTTGCGCCATCGCATCCATCAACTCCTCCTCCGTCGCTTCCTCCACAATCCCATCACACTTCTTCAACGCATAAACAGCTCTATCGATAGAAACAGGGTCACCAATCTGAATAGCAGAAGCAAAAGTTGTACTTGCAGTCATGGGTTTAAAGTCCTTCCAGCCAGACTTGTAATGCAAGTAAAGAGGATTCGCATTAGCCGCCTGAGCACAAACCATCCTCGGGATCCTATCAACGAGTCCAAGCTCTTGACACATCTTGAAGCCTTTGTAGAAAGCATAGATATTACCAAGATTGCCACCGGGGACAATCACCCAATCAGGAACTTGCCAATCAAACTGCTGAAGAATCTCAATCGCTGCAGTCTTCTGCCCTTCAAGCCTCAAACTATTCAACGAATTCGCCAAATAAATCGGTAACTCAGCGGTTATCTCTCTAATCAGCTTCATACATCCATCGAAATCAGTATCAATGCTCAGAACAAACGCGCCGTTAGCTATCGGCTGAACAAGCTGAGCCATCGAGATCTTGTTAGCAGGCAAGAAGACAATCGAAGGTATCCCCGCGGACGCGCAGTAAGCAGAAAGAGCCGCTGACGTGTCACCTGTTGATGCGCAACCAACTCCTACAACGGGACGTTTCATTTTCCTTAACCGGTTAACTTGGCTAACCAAAACGGTCATACCGAGATCTTTAAAACTTCCGGTATGACTAATCCCACAGTGTTTGACCCAAAGATCGTTCATCCCTAGAAACTTTTTACCGAACCTCTCGGCCCAGAAGAGGTTAGAGTTTCCTTCGAAGGCCGAAACGATGTCGTCGTCGTCGATCTCGGGTAGGACCCACTCTTTCTTAGACCACACGCCCGATCCGTAAGGCCACGTGCTCTTGCCGACGCGGGAGTCGAAGAGATCGCGCCAGTACGCGCCGTCGAAGCGTTTCAGGGCTTCCATGTCGTGCTCGACGTCGAGGAGGCCGCCGGAGCGGCTGCGGTAGACGATCTCGTCGAGGGAGTAGTGCTCGGTGGATCCTTGGGGAGCGTTGAAGGGGACGTATCTGGCGGAGAAGGGATTCGCGGCGGTGGAGCGTTGGAGACGGGCGTCGTCGCGGATTGTGTTCTCGGTTCGGCGAGGCTTGGTGATTGTCTCGATTGGAGTGGTGTTGGTGCTGTTTCCGTCTGTGGAGGAGGTGCATGAGACGACGATGGGGCGGTGGCGAAGGAGAGGGGAGGAAGAGTGGCGGCGGAGGAGGTCATGATTAGGGTTGAGGGAAGATAGAGAGGTGTTGAAGAGAGAGGAGGAAGCCATTTTGGAGATAGAGAGAGACAAGTTGAGATGCGGCGGAGGATTTTATGTGGACACACACGGGAGAGAGAGAGAGGAGAAGACAAAATTTCAGATAAATATTCTGATTATTTTAAACACGGAGATATTTTAGAACCGGACGTAATCAGGTTTTAGCATTTAACAGATGGCCGTAACGATCCTTGGGCCCATGAAACCATTCAAATATCCAGATTTTTTTCCATAGCTGTGACGTCTTTAATTGATCAGTTTAATATATAAAGTAACATACATTATTATACAAGCTTAGATCCTTTTGACCACGAAAAACACACATATTTTTCAACTAGATTTCTTTTCCTTTTTCATATGTGCAAGGAATAGAGATGGATGTAAAAGAAACAAGCTCAAATATATATCTGAAGCAGGTACATATATATATATGGTAATATGTATATCGGACTAATTGTAACAGGCTCACAATTATTTAACAAGAGTAAGGAGGAAAGCAGGAAGGGATACATATATGTATATCAAACATGGAAATCACTTAACTCCTCTAAAACTATTACACTATATAGAAAGAAAACAAGTAAGGCCATTTACTTAAACATCATCTCTATACATTAAAGACTAAACGGAGGGTATGTTTGAGAAGGAGAAACCTTGGTATCCTTTGTAAGCGTAATAGGCGATCCGAGTATAGTAAAACCCTGGTATGAACAGCAGACACCCCAGGACCATGAAGAAAATCCCTGTCAAACAGAAAATGAAACAATCATTACCTGAAGCTCATACCCAAATCACATATAGAAAAGATAGGCTTTTGGATGCAAAGATGACAAAGGAGTAGTTCTTGCAATCCAGAACAAAACGGAAAATCCAATCACTTTTGCTTTCATATGAGTAGATATGCAAACAAGGAATAACCTTGCAGGCAGATAAGAGCAAACTTGGCAATTTGGAAAAAAAAAACATTTAGGATTGAAAAATTGTGGACTAATTATCATATACAAGTTCTTCCGGAACAGTTACATATAATCTGAGAAGGAGATCAAAGCGTATGCATATGGAATCAACTGAAATCTTTCTAGCAATGATGTAGCTAACCAGATCACTTGCAATCTTTCTATTCAGCCTAATTAATCATCTAAACTTCTGATTGACATTCCCCTAATCTAAATTTTTTGTTCAGAACTAACTATACATAGTGACAACCAGATGAACAAACACAAAAGCAAGTTCCCTCAGATTCTCATTAATCTCCATTTTCTACAATGGAGAAGAATTAGCCACAAAGATAATGAAATCGCACCGTGGCCTCGATCACCGCCAACTAGATTGTACGCCATGAAGAAGCCTGAGACGATTCCTAGGGTTCCGAACACGAGGAGAGCCACCGCGAGTGCGATCTCCTTAACCGGCGGTCGGTTATTCACGGTGTATGCAGTCCCAATCATCATGTCCTCGTCTGATATCGAGAACGCATGATCCACGTACGCCATTCCGGATCCAGATCAAATCGCAAACGATAACTGATTAAATCTCGAGAAATGAAATCGAGCTGTTTGCTTCTGAAAGTTATGAGAGAGTCTCTTCTCCTTTGTGACGGAGACAGGTCGTAGTTTGGTGCAACTTCATTTATCGTGACATCTACTCAACGTACATTTTTGTGCCAGATCTATTATCTAATTGCAAACTACGTGTCGTTTTATATTCCCCCAATGTAAAACGGCATAACGTGCGAGTTTATTTTAATGAAACCCGTCTTTGGTTTTCTTTTGGAAGTTCTGTAAACAGTAGTGCACAGGATGCTCAATATAGCTCACACCAAAACAAACCAGATAGATAAATACTCTCTAATATTCTATTTGTTCTTTTGATGATGACATAACGTATTTACAAGAAAATCAAGGGAAGACACAAAACCAAAACCGGTCAGAGAGATTAGTGGGGAGGGTAGAGTTTCCAGAGAGCAACAGTTGCATCCTCGGACGCAGATGCCATTAGCTCACAGTCCGGAGAGTATGACACGGCGTTGCACTACAAACACAAACACAAACATTCAGAAACGTTAACTGTCTCCGGTTCGTAAAACGAAGAGAGTGGTATATAGACTAGAAAGTTAGAGAAACATTCACAAACCGTTGCTCCGTGGTACTTTAGTATCGCTAGAGGACTTCCTTTGCGGTAATTGTACACCCTTACTCTGTTTTTCCAAATACATATAACAAACATGTATTAGTAAAACTAGTTGACATATGGAAAGGAAAATAACAATTTCACATGCGTCTACATCCACAACGCGAAAGAACTGGGACTAGGAAAACATGAACAAACAGAATGCGAGTAAACCAATCACTGCTTTCGATTATACTAGGAAAACATGAACAAACAGATCAAAGAAATGAATTTGAATTCTGAAGAAGTGGATGCTAACCTGTGATCCCAACCAGCTGTGGCTGCAATCTTTCCATCATGTCGGATTGAGGTGCCTGAGATGCCTGGCCTTTCCAAAATAATCTCTTTCCTCACTGTTAAAGAACCCTAAGAGAATATAACATGCAAAAAGATTAGCACTAGATAATAACTTACAAAGCGATAACACGAGTGTTTCATTTCCTTACAGCTGAATGGTTGATATTATACATTAGAATTTTGTCATCTGCCCCTCCTGAGATACCTCCATCGCATGATGATGCAACACAAAGACTTAGAACTGCACAAAGAAAAGAAATCAATCATTCGGAAAGTTCAATACATTATAAGAAACATCTCGATATACAGAGGATGAGAACAAGACCTGGCTCTGAATGAAACTTCACACTTGTTAGAGGAATCTTCGGATTGCGTATATCCCAAAGCAGTGTTGACCCATCCTCATAACTGCACAGGTTCAATATTAACCACCCATGATAAAAACAAAGTATACAAATGTAGATTTGTGTTTTTCTTGATTAATGGACAAAAGCTTGGGAGACAACATACCCAGCTAAGACATGTAAGAAACCCTGTGATTCAGGAGGGCAAAATAATTGAACTGCCATACACATTCCTGCAGATGACCCAATTTAACACTTTGATGAAAGTATAGTAAGCAAATTTCTAAGGTGAAATAATGAAGGCATTCTAGTTTCCGCAATTTTAATGATGGAGAAGGCATCAATGTTAACAGGAAATGTACATAAAAAGGAAGGATCTCATACAGAAAACAGTACAAGCTACCTCTTTCTTTGGTAGAAGAACTGGTGGATTCATCAGGACTAGCTTGAGGAAGTTGTATGATCTTGTCTCCGGTATTAAGATCCCATATCTCTACCTTTATATATAATCAAAAATTTTAAGAAGTGAGTGGGTTTTTGTCAAAAACAAAGAATCATATGGGTTTCTAGTCACCTCAGTAGGTTGCTCCCCTGCTCCTGCTACGTAAGTGGCACTTTCAGCATGATCTCCATCTGTTACTATCAAATTTTAAGTAAATCTTGCGACGTCAGACAAAACGAAAAAAAAAAACCTCGACAACAACTCTATGATCTTACATTTTAACATTGAATAATTGCACAAAAACCAATTCAGTCGAAAGTCATGATCAGGCCACAAAACTTCTGGAAAATCCAAGTAAAAACATACCTTGAAGCAAACCAGAATCCCCGACAGATCCCTCACTATCATCTGTACACTGAACATTACGCGTGTCTCCAGCATCCTGCTCAACGCACTTCTTAGAGTGACCTTCAGCTTCTTTCAGAGAAGTTTTAGGCTTCTTGACAAGAGAGAACTTGCAAAAATGATAGGCGCTTGTATTGAGTACTAGTAACGGATCCCTGCCAAGCATGTCAACCAAAGATATTCAGTGGTCATATAGTTAAGAGAGAAATGAATGCAAAAAAAAACAGTTGAAAAAGGGACCTTGATAGACCACCATCTTCAATATCCCAACACTTGACAGTTCCATCTCTTCCCTGACTATAATCAAAACAGTAACTAGCTCAGTCTTCCCTGATTATGAACCACAACTTGGGGGAATTGCTTTTACGTTTACCTGATAACCTTGTTCTCCCCTAACCAAGGACTAGCTGCTACAGCTAAAACCCCATTTGCTCTACTATGAGCCCTACACAATCCGAGACAAAACAATGAATGCTACTTCATTATTAAAAAAAAAAAGACAAGTACTTTACAGTCAAAATCACAAACCAGGCAGAAGAAACTGTACGGTTCTGAATGGTATCCCAAATCCTCAACTCTCCATCAGCTGAACTGGAGAATTCAAAAATCTTCACTTTGCATCAAATTATCAAAAAACTAAGCCAATATAGAATTTTGGATTTCACACAGGTGAGAGAAGACTAACATACCCAGTGAAAAGAAGAGACTTTGATGGATGGAACGAAACATCCATAACAGAGTGACGGTGTCCTCTAAGCACCGCCACCGGATCAGGCGGCGGTCTCTTGCTCATCTCCGTTTAGCTTCTCCACGGAAGAAACCCAGTTACGCCCTTCCAAAATCTCGTAAAATTTGCCGCGAGAATAGCTTGCTGAAGATCCAAAGGATTCTCCTATGATGGAAGACTGAAGAAGACGATTGATAGTTTAGTGCTTATTGTCCTGCCGGTTCTACTTTCTCAAACAAAACTATGCGTCGTTTATTTAAAACTTAAACAGCAGAACGTCTGACTTTATTTTCACGGGTTTACTATCCATTTGACGGGATAACGTTATCCGAGTTTCCAAACAAACTAAACTCTTCACTCATCTTCTTCATCACGAGAAACAAAGAGCTTTTAGAGGTTATACCCATTGTGAGAGAGGATCCAAATGGCTCCGAGAACCGATTCTCAATCCCAATCCGCCATGTCAGACACCTCCGTCGAATCATCGATCGATCCGATCTTCCACATTCTCCGTCTCATCCCATTCTCCTTCCTCCGTCCACCGCGTCTCCGTCTCAAGCTCCCTTCCTTCACTCTCCCCTCTCCGATGACCGTGTTCGCGCTGATTCTCCTCACCTACTTCCTCGTCATCTCCGGATTCGTCTACGATGTGATCGTGGAGCCTCCAGGTATCGGGTCGACCCAGGATCCAGTCACAGGGGCGATACGGCCCGTGGTGTTCATGTCGGGTCGGGTCAACGGGCAGTATATTATAGAAGGTCTTTCGTCGGGGTTCATGTTCGTGATGGGTGGGATCGGGATCATAATGTTGGATCTGGCGTTGGATAAGAATCGAGCCAAGAGTGTGAAGGCTTCGTATGCTACGGCTGGTGTCTCGTCAATTGTGATGGGTTATGTTATGAGTATGCTTTTTATCCGTATTAAGATCCCTGGTTATCTCCATTAGAGTTGTTTTAGATCACTTTGGTACTGCTGTGGGCTCTCTAGTTTAAGTTTAAGATCGATCGTTGAGAAAAGATGTAACTTTTGTGTGTTTCTAAAACTTCCAGATTCTCTACTTAGTTCTGAGTTTCTTGTTTGGTATGGTAATTTCAGCATTGAATGTTGGCATCTGCGTTTGATATATCAATCTGATCGTTTAGACTTGTGTTAAAAAGATCATGTGAGGTTTTCTGCAACTGTTATATCAACAAGCATTCTTGATCCTGCGAAATGGCGGTTTGCTTGAATTCTTTTTCATCTGCTATGGTTCAATCTTCAGAACGCATGATTCTTTTAATCGATTGTTAGAGATTTTGTAATTGCTCAGTCATTTTGGTAATTTCATAAATTTTTTTATCTGGATTCACTGTAAAGAAACGTGAACGTTGGTGTGAGTATTCAAAGGGGTTTACGAATCGCCAGCTTATGGAAAAGGGAAGATATACTCTTTGTGGAGACAGCAATGCACCATTTCCACTGTCTGCTACATCAGAATCTTCTCAAACTGAGAATCTGTGGATAACAACCAAAGCAAATCTACACTCGTGAATATGTGAATATTCTATATATCTATTTCTCGTCGCACCAGCAAACCTAGGGCCATATATATTGAAAGCCTCTTACAAAGATGGAACGACCACTTGTTCATATTAAGCTACTTGCATATTCACAATGTTCTTTTTTGATGTATTTAACAAAAAACGTACAAGCATTTTGCAAAAGTACGTGGGCAGAGAGAAGGCAAAATAGTAGTATAAAAGTATTCACAGGTTGGATACTACTAAATCCACTTCTGGTATTTTGACTGGCTTCTCTTAGTCTTTTCAAACTACTTTTTATTAACCTGCAAAATTCAACAGAAAATTTTCAAAGCTTTTAGTAGCAATTGTAGCTTTTTAGATGCGTTTGATGGTTTGGCTATAACGACAAGGTGATTTTAGTTACCTGATGAGTTCCTTCTCCACCGGTTTATTCTGAAGTATTGGCTGACAGGAGTTTCTGGAACTGGGATGCATTTTCCGATCACCGCCAATGGCCAACTGGTTAATACAAACACACAAAACGGAGTCTATCTAGTGAGTTTACGAAGTACGCATCTACTAACACTCTTGTGTTTCACGCCTAATCGAGACTCTTTCATGACTAATGAGTCTGGAAGTGGACAAAAATTAGTGAAACAAACCTGATGGAACCGATTCCAATCGAGATGAGCCACATCTCCCAATCAAGCTTTATCGTTGAGGCAAATGTTCCAAGGAACTCGACAATGATTACCTATTAAAACATTTAACAACAAGCAATAAACCGTTTTTGTCTATACCTCAGATGTATATTAAAAAAAAAAGTGACTGAACTTACCTGGAGCACAACAGTGACACAGATGATGCCCACAAAGAGATGATTACGGAGAACTCCTTGGAAAATGTTTATTTCATCTGGCTTCCGTGCGTTGAACTCGTTGAAGATCTAAATAAAAAGAATATAATAAGTTTGTTTTCTGATGTGCCCAAGTTTATCCTTAGTGAAAAAGAGTCGGTGTCTATCTTTTACCTGGCAGATGACAAAGGCATTGAAGATGACTGTATTCTTCACTCTCTCGGGATTGGGGTTACTCTTCAGATGAAGGATACTTATTCCACGGAAATTTAGGACTAACAAGACTGTCACTTGGTACATCGCCTAATAATATGCAAAAACAATTGGAGCAGCAGATAAGGCTAAAATAATGCGACATTTAGACAAGTGAGGAAAATAATAAAAAGATAACCTACTTGTACAAGCAAGTTTCTCCACATGATATTTGTGATGAGAGGTTCTCTGAAAACGAGAGATGAATACAAATGTTATGTAAAAATGGGAGAGAAACTGAGATCACTCGACTTAAAACGTCCAAGTCTAGTAAAGTCGTACCTTCTGCCAACAGGAGCTCGATCCATCAAGTGATCGGTTGGTGGTTCGGTGGCTAAAGCAAGAGCCCCAAGAGTATCCATTATAAGATTGACCCAGAGGAGCTACAAAGATATGGGATATAAGACTTTACTAACGTAAAATTTTTCGTTTTTAAGTTAATGCTTCTGTGCAGATGAGAAAGAGGTATTAATTATATCGAACCTGTACTGCAGTTAGTGGAACATCACCCGAGGATATGGCAGCCACGACATTGATGACAAGAGCTGCGACATTAACAGTGAGCTGAAACTGGATGAACTTTTGAATATTGGCATACACAGATCGACCCCAACGGACAACCTAAAGGAATCAAATATCAATATCCAACTCAAGACAATTATCATAAATATCATGCAACAGAAGGGTATGAACAGAAAGCCTAGTTTAGAAGAAGTTTGAATCCCTTGGTTTCTAAGGATACCAACCTTCACAACGGATTCAAAATTATCATCCAAGATAATAATGTCTGACTTCTCCTTTGCGACTTCAGTGCCTTGGATACCCATGGAGAGACCTATATCTGCCTGAAAATCAGGGGACAAAACAGAAATTTTCATTCTCAGTATAGTGTTCCTAAATAGTTTTACACATGAGGTTTTGTAGATATATTGAAACCTCATGAAGTGCAGGAGCATCATTGGTTCCATCACCGGTCACAGCCACGACGTGTCCCCTTCTCTTCAGCGATTGCACAAGAAGAAGTTTGTCATTGGGTGATGATCTACCCATTACCTTCAAGATTTAGCAACAATGTCAGGTACCATCAAATAGCTGGCCTTCAGTCACAACCTACAACATAAGGCTCTTACAGATATCTCTTCAGAAATCCTATCTCTTTCTTCTTCTGAATAGGATCGGAATACTTTTCCTTCAATCAGATTAGGCTCACTAGCATCTGAGTCTGAAGCTAGTATACCGCACTCCAGTGCAATTGCTTTGGCAGTTTGAATGTTATCACCAGTCACCATTCGAACCTGAGGCCAATAGTTTAATTTAGAAGACTACACACGCCGATGAAAAATAGAAAGTAGACAAAATATGTAGAGAAACTCTCAGGAAAAGAATCAAATGAGATGTGTACGTACCTTGACTCCAGCTTGTTGGCATAGTAGAACTGAATTTTTGACACCTGGGCGACATGGATCCTATAATGTATTACAGAAAATAGAACACCCAATAAGTAATGCTTGCTTTTTATACCAACCAATATGGTTTACAGAATCACATCAAGGCGCATCACAAGACTCTTCAGAAAGGTAAGGAGAACTAGCAATAAGTAACACTTACCTTAATACCAACAATAGCCAACAGTACAAGATCATCATCAGGTAATACCCATCTTGAAAGTTGCTCTTCGTCAGTTGGAATCTTGTCCGCTTCAAGTGTTCTGAAGGCAATTGCAACACAACGGAGACTCCTTGCAGCCATATCATTGATAGCATTTTTTAACGCGGCCATCTGAAACAACAAGACTTAATACTATCTTATCAAAATTCTCTTTACCAAATCTGGCATTGATTTGGGGCTACTCAAGATAAAATACTAAAAATGAGTTTGGCTTGCAGAAAGAAAACAATCTTAAATTAAAACACAATCATAAGGTAAACCTTTCGTACAAACTATATCACGATAAAGAGAAACATAGTTGCCAACCTTCTCTCCACTCATATCTACAAGACTCTCATTCTCATCCATATAGTGTGTGCAGGAACCCAATACAATTTCCGCAGCGCCCTTCCAGTGAACATGGACACTCGAATCTGGCTGAAATTGAATTAAGAGATTGTTAGGATGCTGCGTCGCAAGGGAAACAACCACAAACGATAAATCATAAACAAAGCAAAAGATGTTGAGGAGGAGGAAATAGATTACTGATTTCACAGCTACGCCTCCACGTTTCTGCTCTGAGTTGAATGGAAAAAAATGTACAGCAGAAGACTCAGACCTAAGGGCATCGAAATTCATGCCTAACTGCAGAGCTCAAAAGGGATTAGTTCTCCTCAAATCTGTATGAACTAGAACCAGGAAAATTAAGCTGAAAAAATAAACCTTTATCGCCCAATTCAAAATTGCTCTTTCTGTAGGCGATCCAGAAACCTGAATCTCACCACTCTGTAATTAACAAGCACAGATACATAAATATAAACTGAAGTAGAAACCAAATGGAAAATCAGTAAAGTTCCAAAGCAATTTTATCCCACCTCAGATCGGAAAACACTGCCAGTTGTATTATGAGCAATTCCCTCAACAAGTTTGGATGCAAAAGCAGGTGGCAGTTTTGAGCTGCTGTCCGGAGGATCCATCTTTTGAAACCCAGCATAACACTCAACAACAGTCATCTGAGAAAAGAGAAAGTATTAGGGGGCTCACTTGTTGGACACTTCATTCAAAATAGCAAAAGCTTGCAGCAAATATAATTTGAAAGGCTGGGCTTTTATATTGCTATTTGTTAGTGTATTAGCAAATATAAAAAGGGAGGAATAGCACTAAGACTCACTTCGTTTAAGGTCAAAGTTCCCGTCTTATCACTGCAAATTGTTGTTGCAGATCCCATGGTCTCACAGGCGGAAAGCCTGCGCACCTGAAAGTTAAGTTCGTTTAAGTTGCGAATATCATTAACTATATGAGTCTTGTAAATATATTCAGGCAAACAAAGTGAGTCCCAAATAGTAAAAGATACATACCAAAGCTTTATCTGCCATCATTTTTCTCATGGAATATGCAAGACTGCCAATACGAAGTAGAAAAGATCAGTGACGAAAAACAAACTCGTTCTAGTTAGTTTTATAGCAGATCCATCCATTTCTATTACTTTTGACCATGTATAACTACATCCTTTCCAACTCAAGAGGTCAAAGCAACTGCTGACATTAAAATGTTTATATAGAAGATAGTATACGAACGTCAAGGTAACAGCTAAAGGAAGCCCTTCAGGTACTGCCACTACAACGATTGTGACCTACAATATTTGACAGGTTGAGCTGAATGGTCACATATATGACGAAGAAGCTGACGATGGTATAAGCCATGCTGATTTCTTCTAAGAAATACTTACTGCAACAGTGATGATTTTAACAAGATCATCTAGCACGTGATCAAATTTTGTCGTCCCTCCAACAAACTGTGGGCCTCCTTTTGCATCCTTCGTGTGCCCAGTAAAGTAGCTGCAGAGAACAAAGATTCGTTCAATGACCACTGACAATTTACTCCACGTTGTATTCAGTTGTCAGAAAGAAATATAAACGCACCGGACGACAAGGACAAATAATACGACGCCAGCAACTGTAAGCCCCACAATTCCGATAAATGTTGCAACACCATTCAAGCGTACCTGAAGAAATCATAGTTACGTATGAATACTACTGAGCAACAAATACCAAAAAGAAATATGAACAGATAAAAGGTTGACATCCACCTGCAATGGTGTTTCTCCACCATTGTCTTCTGAGACGC